CATTATTAAGATATTCAAAGAACTACATTAAAAAAAGCTTGACATGTTTTGAGACACAAAAATTCTGGGGTAGCGATTTACTGACGATGTACATAGTAAGAGTCACCAGCTTAGGGAATTCCAGTCTATTCGTGCACAATCTATGAACAGAAAACTCCAGAGTATGATTTATTGTTTGAAGTGGTGCAATAACCCACCATTTTTCGATAATAAGTAATAGATATAGCGTTTCGCTTCCTCAGAGGTAAAACGTTCTGTCTGACGTTTCCGGCCGTTTTGATTGACGATTATAAGACCGTGATGTCAGGAACTAAATGTTCTGTCTGATTTATCAAAATCGTCAGATTATTCGGAGTCATTTTTAAGATATTCAAAGAACTACATGAAAAATAGCTTGACATGTTGTGAGACGCAAAATCTTTGAACGTCAAATTTCCCCAAACTAGGTTCTAAGCACACAGATCTTTGTAATTCTGATGAAGCGATTTGTATAGCGCAAATTCCCGCTCAGCAGCAAGTTCTATGAACTTTACAATATTTCTTTCTTTCTTTCATTCTTTCTTTCTCTTTTTCTTTTTTTTTCTGTCATTCGTTCTTTCTTTCTTTCTTTTGTCCGTTCTCTCCCTCCCTCTCTCTCTCTCTCTCTCTCTCTCTCTCTCTCTCTCTCTCTATAGCCCCTCCCCAGCTCCACCCCTAATAAAACCAACGAACAACCCCAGCCCCCAGCACCACGAAGAAGAAATAAGAGTCTGCCAAAAGCAGAACAAAATTCAACACTTGTGACAATACAGTATACCATAGCTATCTCAAGCCAAGAGGGGGGCCAGCAAAGATTCGGGGACAACTCTCGGAAGCCGCCGTCAATTGGGCGCTGTACAGTGAACAGTGGTCGTGACAAAGGTGGGTAAAATCCGGATAATCTATCCGAACAACCGGATAATTCTCAATGAAACATTATCCGAATTCAGACTTAATTAATAAGCTCTTTCCTGACCCGTTTGCCGAAGTGGGTGCACCCATTTGTTGAAATGATGCTAAACTGTTTTTCGAAGGGGTTCTAACCCATTTGCCGAAGCGGCTCATGTATGGCTCTTTTCGGCTATGCAGACGGTCAATTTAGCTTAAGATGGTCTCAAGGTTGTCTTCATGCAGCTTCTTTCAGGACTAATTCTTCCTATTTTGAAGCTCAGATTCTGTTGCAGTGCTTGCATGTCACAGACGTGGATCGAAGCTCTTTTCGTATTTCCGCTGTTTTCCTTTCGTCGTTGGAGCTTCTCAGCCTGATTGTTTCTAAGGCTGCTCACTAGCATTATAGTTCTTTCCTGTATTGTTTTTCTCCATGTTTTCCTGTCCTCAGCTATTTCTTCCCAGATGCTAACATCTACGAATCTGCTCATACCATAATATTATTATTTGCCGAAGAGATGCACTAACATATTATCCGGATTTTGCTAAAGCGACTCATTGCCCAGCCCTAGTCGTGACGCGTTCTGCTAGACTTGTCCTGTGTTGGATTACCTGGCGGACCAGACATCGCTCGCTCGGCCCTTGTGTGGTGAGGAAGGCGTGAACGAGGCCCCTCTCGCTCCTCTACGCTTGAGACACAAGACACAAGACACACGTAGACCACAGACACCACACCACGGCGGGATTCACATTCGTCGTCGCCTGCCACACCTAGCCCAGGCTAGACCGACTGACTCGTGTGTGTGTTTTTTCCACCCGTGTTTGTCTTATCTTTTTCATGGCTCCACAAACTCAATCAAGACCACTTAGGAATTCATCGAGGCTGCACAGATTAATTTAATCGATATTCGATATCTGCTCGAGGAATTGGATCAATACCGTGCTCTGGGCACTCTATACAGAAAGGTTTGTTTACCATCTGCACGGCTCGACTTTCCTCTCCCACCTTTGTATGTGTGTGTGTGTACATTAATCTGTCATTTCGGGGAGGTGTATCTCGCAACACTGTTCTCCGCTGCTGAGGGTGGTCGGGCAGATTCTAAGGAGGACATTACTTCTACTTCTACCATAACCTCTTCGGAGTGGGACGAGGAGTATCTAAAAGTAAAAGCCGAGGAGGATTTGAGGCGCAGACGTGGATTTTTCTTTCCCCTTCTCATCGTGAGAGTCAGGGTAAGCCTCGAGTACTTTTTTACAACTCTCTCCGTCTCTTCTACTTTCACAGTCCATTTGGAGAATACAACAGTAAGCGTGTTCATTCACCGCATCGCGGTTCTCATAGTTCACATTTCGCTGATTCGGTACATACCCAGTTTTGTTTTGGGTTTTTTTTTCTCTGGCTGAAAACAGTAAAAACAGGAAAGCTTGTTCAATTTATTGACACATGAAATTTTAACTTTCCTAAAACTATTTACAAATGTAATATATAGAACAGGGTGTCTCAGAAGTGGAGCACCATCCTGAAAACTCTCTTCACACACGGAAACGGAGGATTTTTGCGTTTCTTGGTTGTTTTTTTTAAATAAGTGTTTTACAGCGCTCGCAACTGCATAAGGTCATAATGAGCGTGCAGGACACATTTTCAGCTGGTAGGAAATTTTGAATTTTACCCGGTTGGCGGTCGAAGCCTACTCATCGATTTTAGACCACCAAGGAGTTTTTAACGTGCGCAACTTGCGCATGGGACCTCCGAGACTTTTCGCCCTTGTCCGAGAAGGCTTGGTGTAGATCAGAGAGTTTGGTGTAGATCTTTCCTACCAGAAGATCAGGGGTGTGGCTGAAAGACAGCAGGAAGAAGGATGGAGGATTTAAAGGAAGCACTGACTACGCAGTGCTAAAAGATCACAGCCGAAACACTCAAGCGTGTAAAAAGACAGCATATTTTGTGTTTGAGTCTCATGATAATATGCTTGTTTTGTTGCTGGGCTGAGGGGGCTCAGTTCAAGCATTTACGAAAGACTAATAATCAGTCTAGTTGTGTTTAATGAAAACCCAGGGTGGTGCGCCACCTTTGGGACACCCAGTGCATTTATTTATACCATTGTTCTATTGTTTAACCCAGTCCGTACGCCCATAGGTCATTTTGTGCCACCGGGGTTGTATTCTTCACATTTTAGAATACTTCTAGATATAGTACGAAGATCTCTTTCTTGAAACTTTCAGTATTTCTGAAAAAAATCATTTTGACAGACTGCTATGTCAGGCAAAGTAAATTTCCTGTTTGAAAAGTGGTGGCACAGAGTTCCCCTCGTCGTATGGATACGATAGTAAAACACGACGTACGGATAGGGTTAAATACCTTTGGCGTCTCATACTCCGTGAAATGTAAAAGGTTTATAATACATAGCGTGATAGGCGTCTATACGAGTGCGGAGATGGTTCAGTTAGGCGTGAAATCCGTAAGGCAATTTACATTTTATTTACCTCTCGGATTACCCCTCCCTCATCCCCACCCCCTCCCCACCCACCACTATCTCGGGCTGTTCTGGAAAGTGCCCCCCCGGCAATATTTTAAGACATAATGTGCATTATGTTATGTACGAGTCTAAAACAGAGAACGGGAAAGATGATGTTGGGAGACGCTTGATAGCTTTGTTTAAGTAGAGGATTTTGAGGCGCTCGCAACTGCATAAGGTCATATTATTATATGAGCGCCAGGAGACGCTAGATAGAAGAACCACACAGTATAAGTCTTTTTGTCGAAACTACTGTTCAGACAAAGCTGTGTCTCCGTCGTTTGGTTTATTAGGTTGATATATATTATTATTTTAAAATATCTGTTTTAATCTCAGTTCATAACTGTTTAACAAATTCTGTTTTAATTTATTAACTGCTTGTGTTTTTATCGCCTATCAGTAAGAAACAACAACAAAAAAGCAACAGCAATTTCAAACACACGAAACATTAAATAAAGCAACAACAACAATAACAATAACAACTACAACAACAACAACAACAACAACAACAATACACGCACACACACACACACACACA